AACACTTACGTTTGCTGATATCAGAATGCTGGTGCTGAACCTTTTGGAAAAAAAAACCGACAGTTATTATAAAGGCCATATCTGCTAAGTATCAGCAACCGATCAACCTCTAGCGTGTTACGAGATTAGTCCAATGCTTATGTTGTGAGAGCTGTCTGCTAGCCAAATTGGTGCATGGTAATTTACATCAATGTTTACGTCCCAAATCGAGGTCATGCGGAAAAAACAAGAACAAAGAATAACTCAACAACCAATCACAGCAGACTTAGAGTGTGCGGATACGAGTAGCAGGTATATCAACGGATTGTCTAAGAAACGGCAACAAAGAGATAACAAAATAACTTTCGGCAGGAAAACAACCCATCAGAAGACGTTACCTCTCTGCTAACAATAACGAATAATAATGTACATAAAAATCTATAAATATCTGTTGATTTTCCCAATAAACGATCTGTTGCCTGGCCCTTGTCTTCTATCGTCACACTTATGCTATTTTGTTCAACATTGTATGTTTCTGGTAAATGTCAAGGCGCACAAAACTTAGGTCTGTGAATTTCTGATGACTCTCTGTCTAACCAGTAAATATGGCGATAATAAGTTGCGTTCTACTCCGATATTATTAGATATCACTATTCATTCTGAACCGACAGTCTTTACATTATATGGTGTATGTAACAACTCTGGGCGTATATATTAGAATATATATTAGAATAGTATATAATAATAAAAATTACTTAAGTAATATCTAATCCTTCCAAATTACAAATATCATTTTTATTCCGTCATACATACATTTTAATATAATCACAAAGTATAGTATAGTACACAAAACAAGGTCATTTTGAGGATATTTGTGTGTAACACTGCATCTAATGTGTTTACTTATAACTTCTGTCAAATACTTACACTTATATAGGCATATATGTACAAATAGATATCGCTGTATAGATTCGAACACATGATAGTATACATTTCTAAAATGACATTCTCGCTTACATAATTTATTTGGCCATTTGAAATAGCCTTATTTGCAACGATTATATCTAAATTGAATATTTTTTCATTTCTTTACGTTCCCAGTGGGACATAATGCTCAAGCTAGAGGCTTATAATTTCGGTAGCAGTGGTGTTCATTTTGACAGAGTAAGGTTGCTAGCTCTCGAGTGGAACCGGAAAGGGAAGCGGCGAGTTGGTCGTCAGTGCGAGGGTGACTTGGAGGAGGTCATGTGAAGAGGAGATGTAAACGTGTGGACAGACATGGAGTCAGGTAAAGACTCTAGCAGAGAACCGAACGCAATGGAGACGAACGGCTGAAGCCCTATGTTCCTCTAGGAATTAAAGGAAACAATAATAGTAATAATAAGGTTGCTAGCTTCATATCCCCAACCTTCCCTCTTTACCGGTCTTGTTACCGGCTTAGAGGGGTTAGGGAGTGCGTCGGCCGGGGACCGAACCGCGGACCACATGCGTGGTTGGCGAACATTCTACCGCCAAGCCACCGACGCACAAATTAAATATATTAGCAATTAAAGGTAACGTAAAAATCAGTGACTCTGTTAATTATGCGACTGTAGATCATCTTTCTCAGCCGCTTACATTTTTACGTTAATCTCTCTTAAAAAATTTGCACTGTCGTTTATTAACATATTCGAGTTTTCCTCCCGTTATATCAAAAATGCGATCCTGTCAAGCCAGGGAGTACCTAATTTCACCTTCCTCCAGCTCTCTGAGCTGAGTCAAGGCAAGTACAGAGCTAGCGAACTCGCCTTCGAAAGAAGAGAAGCAACAGTCTGGTGTTTAAATCATTTCGACCTGGCTGACTAACAAGCCCAACTTGTTGATGTCGGTGGTATCAAACTACTCATCTTAATCAATCAGTAGTATAAAGCGTCATGTATTCATGATTGTTCTCTTGATCTAGCAGATCACGTATTGCGCCATGCCCTCCAATGAAACCCGAATGGTAAACAACGAATTAGGCACAAGTTGGAAGAGGACATGGGACAGATCGTGCGTGAAGGAGATAAAAGCTAATGAGAAATCGTGGAGCCAACTGTATATGACTGCATAGAACAGAGTGAAATTCAGATTTGCTGCTGAAGCTGTATTTTCCATTCGGAGCCCAAATAAATAAGAATAATATGCATTTCAAATATACTAGTTTTTCTGTATTCTTGTTATCGACCTGAACAGAATGAATTTAAAGTGTTGGTGTTTCTTTTCCATTGATGGTAAATATATGAACTTGCAAGAACAACAAATTCAGTAGGTTAGTATGATGCTATTTTATTCCATAGGTTCTTGCTAACTGAGTACAACCTAAAATAATCTTAGTTACACTTAAATATATATACCCTGGTCTATTAGATGGTTGGAGGCGATCGGCAGATAGCTTTGGACCTAGGTTTCAGGCTTCTTAGCACTCACAAGTCAGTAAGGCGTATCTGCAGTCTTGGAAGAATTTCGTGTCTCCTCTGAGATTCTAACGCCTGTTACCCAGTGCTTCAGTCAGAGACGTTACCATTAAGCTATTCGGGGTCACGATTCATCACCTACAGAGGTGTAATGGATGCTAATGCCAACAAGCATGAAACCTAGGTCCAAGGCCTCCTGAGGATTGACTCCAACCACGAAACATCAATTCATAGTGTACTGTAATGATAAGCCACCTAACATGCTAGCCACATTGTAAACTTGACTGATAGAATTCAGTCTGCGCTAAACAAAAGACTAGATGCATGACACTAGTCAGTATCTAGTGTCCGATCAAAGTATATATATATCTTGGTCTTTCAGATAAACACTAGACACAGTTGTTTTTATTCATCTAAGAAACATGAGATTTTGAGGCAATAAATAAAGCGGTGATTACGTGTTTGAATCATGTGAAGGACAGATATATTTATACACATATATCATATATGTTAACCATTACTCAGCAGCAAAGATTATAAATTGTTGACGAATGAAATTATAATTTTACCAGAATATAGACATCAATCACTTAGGAATGACCTATTTCCGAAATCACTTTCAATTGTATTTACCAGTTTATATACCAATTTTTAAAAAAATATGCTTAGAGAGACATTGATGCTAGGTAACATAGTTTATATATATATATAAACTATGTTATCTAGCATCAATGTCTCTCTAAGCATATTTATTTTAAATGGGTCATTCAAAGTGCTTGATGACTATATTTTGGTAAAATTATTATATATATATATACATACATATATATATACATTAAAATCTATAAATATGTGTTGATTTCCTTAATAAACGATCTGTTGCCTGGCCCTTGTCTTCTGTTGTGACAGTATCACGATCCCTCACACAATATGCGTGCGTGACTCATTAGCAACTGTATGCGATTGAAATTGGTTGTTGAGTAACACATTCGATTTTCACCTTTATATATGCATCCACTATTTCACGTGCTCATTTGGAACTGATTAAATTAGGCATTATAAGTCAGTATTCCGTAAACGCATAACCGAGTAATATTCAGTTTAATCGATGATTTATCTTTCAACATTATCTACGCGACTACATTCAACCATTCACCTATGCTGCTGTGTATAGCTGAAGTATCAACAATACGTGAACATAAAACTAGATTGTGTATTCCGAAAATGTTTGGTT